TGCTAAGAAGACAAGTGATGAGGTCTTGGCGAGGTGAAGCACCATTCTCTAGATCGACTCTCTTCTCGGCAATGAGATGTTTCAACAATGTAACGGAAATCGTCTGCAAGTTTCTCTCTTCTCGGCCCTCTTTCGATTTCGAATAGGAGAGAACAGATTATGTTGAATGTATGGGTCTTCATCAGTGGTAACACCTATCGGGACGGGAAAAAAAACATCACATATGATATTCCCATGTTAGACAGCATTTTATAGCATGTTTTGTAGCATACCGTGACATGTTCCTGGCCATGCCAATGCATCTCAAGGTGATTCCTGACTTCTTCATCCATCTTTCCAATATAATGCTTCAACGATTCCGGTTTCAAGACCGACACGAGAGCATCACGAACACGCTTATGATCTTCCCCGACCAGTTCCAAGATACACCGGTGTATCTACGATGATGGTGTTCATGGTTGTGTATGAGAGGAGCCGATCCATGGAGAGCAAGTTATTGACCTTGGTATTGTTGGCTTTTGCCGTGGAATCTTTTCATTGCAATGGCCTTAATATACCACTACTACGTTTAACAGGATAATCTGCCTATATTTTTCTCGTTATGTTGTGTCTTACTTTCCACCTGTAATTGGATGACATTGTGTTGGTATAAAAGTACTTTTTTTATTTTATCATTTTAAAATTTTTATTCAATTTTATTCTTCATTGATCATTCTTTGCATCTTTTGCGACAACGATGTATTCATTTAATTATTTTATAATATTTTTTTATTTTTCTAAAAAAACTCACGAAAAATAAGTACAAGACTTTATTATTTTTGTATTAAAAATTTTCTCAGATTTGAGAGTTTTAAGATGTATGTTCAAAAATTCATATAGTGAAAAATATCTCTTCAAAAAACTAAATAATATATATCGAAATTAGTTTTATTAGACAAACGTTCAAAAAATTAAAGTATTTGAATGTGTCGGAATCGTCTTTTGGTTGGCCCCCGGAATTGGGCTTCTACTTATGAAAATGGATTAGGAGTCGCCACCGATCATTTATTTTAAAACAAATGGATTGATCGGATACCCTATTTCTTACATGATATGCGTCTTACCTTAGGGGTTTTGAAAACGTACCCTTAAAAAGTCATGAAAATGTTAGATGAAGAATAAAATAAATAAAATAAATAAGATAAGATAAAGAAAAAATGAAAATAAAATAAATATAATCTATAAAAAAATATAAAAAACAAAGAAAATAAAGACTAATGAAACAAAGATAAATAGAAATAAAAACATAAAAGAATAAGATAAAGGAAAATAATAATAATAAAAAATGAAACTATATATAAATGAAATAAATAAAATAAAAACAAAAGAAAGGTAAACAAGATAAATATAATATATATATATATATAAATAATAAATTAAAATAAAATAACATAAGTAAAATAAAAAAGTATATATATACTAATATTAATAATAAAGAAAAAGGAAATAAAAAGAAAAATAAAATAAAATGTATATATTAATAATAATGAAAAATAATATATATATATATATATATATATATATATTTGTAATTAAATATAACACTTAAATAAATAGAGGTAAGGAATAATAAATAAATAAAGTTAAATGTGGAGGGACCGATTTGAAAGAGAATGTAAATCAGGGGTTAAATTAAAAGGAATTCGGGGTTGATTTGAATGAAATGGACATAAATTAAAGCTTTTAAAACTACGAGGGAGTAAATGAGAATTATCCCTATTTCGCTCGAAAACACAGGGGATCCGCTCGGGTCATGGGTCGGCTTCATGGGTCATACAAAACCCAAGAACTAACCAAAAAACATTTCATTTTTCATTTGAAGCAAAACACCCCTCCCCCATTTCGTTTCTCTCTCAAAGCATTTAATCGTGTTCTTCATTGTGAAGAACACGGCCGTCGTGTTTTCCAGAATCCGGCGATCTGCCGCTTCACCGGCTGCCAATCATCGGCGGCGAACATAAAAAAATTTGTTTTTTCCAAAAGATCTCTCTTCCCTTAGTTCAAATATCAACTTTGTTTTTTAAAAATCGTATCAGGGAGAGTAGATCTAAAAGAAAAGTTTCGAAAAGATTTGTTTTTTTTAAAGCGAAACGATTGAAAACCGAATACCACTCCTACATGCAAGCATCGATCGAAAAAACAAGGTAAAAAAATCGCACCTTTATTTCAAATGGGTTTCGAAAGTTTTACAACTATTTTGCTTTGATTTCGTGTGTAACCCTCTGTACAATACTTGTGTACGATTTTTGCCTCTAGTAATCGTCCTTTGTGTGTCCTAGTGTTCATCTATTTATAAAAAAACGCCCTATTTTTAGTATTTGATCCCGATTGAAACTCGACTTTGCTGGTTGATGAGAGTCCTGCTAACACACGCCTGTGGTGTTTTGTTTGAATGTGCGAGAAACGGCCGTGGAAAGCGGCGGGGATGAGAAGCGTGGAGCATGGGGACATGCGACGCCTTTGGATGAGAAAAGTTTGAAACCCTAGGGTTTCAAACCGGGTCGGGCTCCAGGATCTCCAACGGGTTCGGGTCTCTACTGCTGGATAGTTGGGTGATGGGTTTGCGTAGTGGGTTTGCTGTACTGGGCTTGGCTTTGTAATGATTTCGAGCTGAATATTCAGGCCTGCAATATGTAACGAAAAATAAATTAGTGGTAATAAAATATTTGTTATCTAATTATAATATATAATATGTGTATATTATGTAATATAATATACATACAACATATATTATAAATAATAACACATAAATCATGTAAATACCATGTGGACGAAAATGAGTTTTTACATAATGTTAAATCTTTAAATGAATTTTTATTCATTTTAAGTGAATTTCATAAAATATCAATCCAATAAAAAAACAAAATACTAGAATTTTAATTCTGATTTTATCAGGAATAACAACCGATAATAGACAATGATTAGCCGACATAAACAATCTAAGGAGCTGACAGTTTTAGTAGAGATTAAAATGATACACGTACTAAAATTTAGTATGTAAAAAATGTTTTAAAATTTAATAATAAAATCCAGGGTTTCTTTCACACGCTACAATTTAGTATATAAAAATGTTTTAAAATTTAATTATAAAATTTAGTAAACGATTCTTGTAGTAAACAAAAAAAAAAAGGAAAAAAGGCAAACAAAAAACCAAAACAGAACAACTGTTTTAGTTACTGTAATACTAATATAAAAGTCAAGCCAAACAGTTCCTGTTCCAATGTGATCAGATCGAACCATAATTAAATATTGGTTAGATATCGAAATATTACTCGAAATTCAATATGAACCAAGTGATCTTAGTGACTAAAGGATTATTATCATCCTTGATGTCCCGAGTTCAAACATGTATGTAGTGATATGAGTGTTCATTATCAAATAATTGAAAATATTTGTACATATATTACCTTGTATTCACCCTAAATTAAAAAAAATCAAAACTCAAAAGACAACTTCAAATTTGTCTAATATTTAAAACTTACACTAACTTAAATTGTAATTAGACCAATTGAGAAGGCAGACTTATCATTATTTAGTTCGATTTTTACTTAATTAAATATTTAATAAATTTTTATATTTTTAAATTTAAATATTAATTTTTACATGAATCGAAATACTATTAAACTATTATGCTCGTATTATTTGTCTTAATGTTTCTTCATCTTATTTAAAAATATTTCTTTATAAATAATGTAAATATATTCCATTTATATAAAGATATATTTATAAAATATATAAATTTAAAGTGTTCAAGTTTGATACTTTAATCAAGGGGTAAACTACTCATCATTGATATTATGGTCTTTTATTTTGGCCACTGGCCGGCGAAGAATTGATTGTGATGTTGATGTTGATGCTTTTTTTCAAATCTGCCTATACAACGTGAAAACGATAGTTGTGCTATACAATCTAAAATTTAGGTTAAAATAACGTTGAAAACAGAGTGTGAACTATGATAAAAATACCTAACATTTTAAATTAGACGTAATTTAAAATGTGATATTTTTCATCATATATTTTATTGCTACTTAAAATATGATTTTTTATAATATTTTTGGCCAGTAATAGAAAATGTGATATTTTTTTATAATATTTTAGATTGTAACTGAAAATATTATAAATGTTATATTTTAAGTTACGTTTAATATAAAATATTATGTTTGTTTTATCACATTTTCAACTACGTTTCGTTTCTATCGTTTTTAACTTTCAATTATTATTTGTTTAGATTTTCGCACGTGAAAAACTTCCTCATTGGAGCCTTTGACATGTGAGCAGGGAAGTATTTTGTGGGTCTTTGCCTAAATTAAAAAAAATATCATAATTTTTTTGTTATTAAGAGTGTTGAGATGATTGTGTATATTTTTACAAATTTATAAGAGATTTTTTCACAAATTATCATAGATGAATATGTGATTTTTAGTCTAAATAAAAAAATGAAATGTTTCTTATGATTTATTACATTCAAATAAACATGTCCCTAAGATATTCTAATCGTTAGATTGGTGATGAGGTGATCGTAAAGATGCTTTCACACATTCGTTATAGTTATTTCGAAATAAGAAGGGACGAATCGTAACTTAAAAAGAAATGAAATAAAAATACTAAAATATTAAAAGGAATGATACACAATCCTCATGATTCTAATGCTCTCTCCAAAAAAAATATTATGTCCCTAATAAATAAATAATCGTAAATGATCACCGGAAAGACTCATCTAAATCCTCATTAAGCATATCCTATAATTGTCATTTAGGAGTGAAAGGATAACTTGTCTCTCTTTTTCTCTAACAAAAGGAAATTTCCTTTTCCTTTCTCACTGGAATTTTACTCCATACTTTAATATTTAATCAACATCAACATCAACATCAACATCAGCGACTCTGTCTACGTCAAAAAAAATATTGAGTACCATAAGAAATCATTATCTCACCTATTATACATTAATATTTAATTTTACTTATAATATCAAGCTTACAATATCATTGGTGGATCCCTTTCTCTTGTTTTATTAAAAATTGTACACTAGGTTACTGATGCCTTAATATTATGCACTATACGTTTATGTTTCATATCTTAGGCACCAATGATACAAGTTTTTAAATGGCTATCACAACACAATCTTGAATCTTCTGTGTCTATGTTGATGGTTTCCTTCTTTAATGTCATCGGATGTGTTCGGTTTTTTCCAGAAGGTTTTCGACATACATGTCATGCACCATTTTTATATAATCATCGATCTTCTCGACCGTCCAACCATTGGTTCTTATCGGAGGGAGATATTTTACGGATATTGGCGCTGGTCTAACGCGCAAGCTACCTTTTCTCCACGCTAGATGAGTGCCTGTTAAGACTATTGGAACTATGGGAAGGCCAGACTGCAAGGCTAAATGAACAAAACCCTGCAACGTACAACACTCGTGTTTTAACACCTATGTTTGAGAAGATTATAAAACAAATACGGATCCAGTCGTACCTTTTTAAACGGAAGAAGTCGTCCATTTTTCGACCTCGTGCCCTCGGGAAAAATAACCAGAGATAAGCCATGTTTTTTAACAGCCTGAATCGCCTGAGCAAGAGACAAGAAAACGTAACTTTGTAACATTAACGACATGTCTAACAGATGATAAATGGTAAGAAAAGCACACCTCTCTCATGGACTTAATGGAAGTGCTTGGATTCGATCGATCAATCCGAAGATGATTCGCTAAAACATATAGTTGTCCGAATAAAGGGTACCATATGATCTGCAGAAAACGAGCAATTCAAATAATCGAAGTTGTAATATAGTTTAAACTGCTGACGAGTGGAATGTACCTCTTTCTTTGCGATGCCAACGGTTCCGGTAGGAGTCAACCACATAATGAGAAAGATGTCGATCGGAGATGCATGGTTGCTGATGTAAATGGCTCGTTCCTTCGAGTACTCTGTTCCTTCGATCTTTATCGGATTCCCTAAGATCCACATCTGCAATCAATTTGTGGTAATGCTAATGATCAAATGGGAAACTATTTTCCATCTCCACTGAACAAATTGCAGATGCTAGTTAAACATTGAATATATAACGTAACATTGTCTAGAGCAACAACATTAATACATCGGTTTTAATGTGTATAATTATTTATTAATTTAATTTATTAAATCATCGGTTTTAAATTCAATCGGTTCAATTAATCGACCCGGTCTGATTCCTACTACAACCGCGCCACCAGAATATTCAAAGAATTGGATGAATCTGCTAGAACATTCATCACTAATAGCTTTTGGCCAGTTGGTAAATGCTCAACCTGGCACTAAAATACAAGTGGCAAACCATAAACACAGTCTACTATGTACCTATCCAGATGACCTTTCCCATAATTTCTACTAAAAAGTAGCAAACGCTCATTTCAAGGCAAAGTATTGAATACAGAAATGTGAGAACCCTTAATAATGACCATTTATTGCATATGAATTTTTGGAGTTGAGTATTATTACTTTGAGAGATAATTGTATCATATGTCTTTAAATTATAAGTTAGTATATGTTTAATTTTTTTTATAACTATTAGAACTCACACTTCACATATATGGTTGCTTGAACTTAATATCTTAAAGAAAAATAAGTCATTTTAACTACTGAGATCACTCAATAGGTTCATACATATAATTAACTATTTTTTCATAAAAAGTTATATAATATTTTATTCAAATTAGTCAAATTAATAAATTAAATAGTATAACACATGGAACAAATATGTGATGTAAATATGAAATATATGTAAATTATTACATAAATGACATTTCAAATCTATCAAAATTTTAATAAACGTTTTAATTTGTTATCAAAATTCTTTTTTAAGATTTAATGATATAAATATTAATGTTGACAGTTAATAAGATTATGATGTAAATAATTAGATACCAAGTACATTTAATCCTAATAATTAAAGAGTAACATCAGTGCATTTTAAAATGAAACAAAAGGAGCCCATGAAAGTTAAAATGAGAGGAACGAATGAAACAAAGCTTACCAGCAATCTACCAGTTACATGACCATAAATGTTTCCTTGCCTAATTCTGTGGTAAGGCCAAGGAAGGAGCAACACCATGATTATTGCCCAAATGAATGCGGTGACCATCATTGCCAGAAAACATGTTACAATCCTTACACACGATATCAATGTCGGAATCCATCCATCATCATGTTCGTCGTCGACAAAAGCATCAACTTTTTCAAGACTCTGATCTGTTACTTCTTTGCTAGATAATTTTTGAGTTTCACTCACATTTGGACCCGATTTCGTATCCAGGAAGCTCTCGAATCTTCTGTTCCTCAAGAAAGAACCACTCCCCGTGTTCTCCATCGAAAGGGTCAATCTCTATGACAAAAACCAGAAGATGGTGAAAATTAACAAAACCAGACCTTGTATATCTATTTGATTCTTGATCATAAGAATAATGAAAGAAAAAATATATAGAGTAAAATTGTAACTAAAACTGAAGGAAGAGCATATAAAAATACTCGAAATTTGTAGCTCTTTCAGGAATTTTCTCGGTCACCAAACAGGGAAAAACTTGCAGCTATATTCCTCGTGTAAGTCAATGCAAACAGCTCTCACGTCAACATAAAAAAAGGTGAAAAAAAAACAAAAAGAAATATTGTGTTTGGAATTGGACACCAAAAGAAAGCAGAAGAAAAACGGGGCTTTAAAACTAAAACCACAACCACTAGTTTATGTTATTCTGGCGTCCGTTTCCATGAAATCAAACAAAGAACTACGTCCAAAGCAAGACCACATATATTTGGATTAGTTGGATACTGTTTATACTTATATATATATCTACACCGTATACTTACTCGTGTTTTTTTCTTGGTAATCAAACAAAAAATGTAAAGACAAAACCAGTTACAACTTTTTTACCTTGAAACAGGGGCGGGCTAGCACATGGACAACATGTGACGGAACAGGCCTCGGAATAGTAAGAACTCAAAAAATTAGATTTATTACTATTGTTACAATAAAAAATTAAATAAAGTATTATGGATCAATAGTAAAATTGAGATTTAAGGACCCACAAAATTAAATTTATTACTATTGTTACAATAAAAAAACAAACAAAGTATTATGGATCAGTGGTAAAATTAAGATTTAACGGCCTCTTTTTAAGAATTTGCACATGGCCTCCAACGTCCTAACCCCGGCCCTGCTTGAAGCTGTAAATTTTGAGAGAAAGTTAGAGAAAATGTGAGGTTTTTTTTTTCTATGGTGCAGTATGGAATAAATTAACGTGTTTTCTAAGGAGATAAAGAAGCGAACAAGTCAAAGTCAAAGACAAAGACAAACACAAAGCCAATACGAAATGGAGGTGAAAGTGAAGGTATATATGGTGGTAAAGAGGATAGAAAGTTCGTATCTAAGGTACAAAATTTTGTTTCGTTTTTTTTGTATATATATATATATATATATTTGTTAAGTTTTATTAACAATCCACTTGAATGATTAAAGAATTATTATTATTTTTTGAGATCATAAGATTGAGTATCACTTTGCAAGAATATACAAGTATATAATATCAAATAATTAAGATTTAATACACTTTCAAGTGTTTAAATTATATCTCAAATTGACTTGTGTCTAAAGAATTTTTCGTTAAAATAAGTGTCTAAAGTTTTATCCGTTATATTTTTAGGTATATAGAGTTATATATATTTTTAATTCTTTTATTTTTTAATAACAAAAATATTTAAAAAAAATTCAAAAATAATAAACCTCCTCCCCTGCGTCGTCCCTCTCCCTCCCATTCCCCCTACCTCCGACGACGACGAAGGGTCACCACCGACTAGGTTTTGTTCGGAACAAGGCAAAGAACTCAATGGTGGAGGTCATGCAATGTACGGTCAGTTGTAGTCGTCGGAATTGTCGCAAAATAGCGAAGGAAAACTTAGAAATCCGACGACCCTTCGCGTCGTTTTTCACAACGATCAACGTAGTTTCACGATGGATGAGAGACTGTGTTTTGTTTGCGATGGCAAGATGGTTCTGATGGTGTCAACGGTGACTGTCATGGACCGACAGTAGCCGATCAATGGTGATTTTTTTTGGGATTTTTTGTTTTTTTAATTATAATATTATTTGTTTTTTTTAAAATTATATGCGTGGCACGTGACAGATAACGATCAAATTTAACGACTGCTATTGTCCAGACACCTAAAAGTGAAATGTTAGAAACATTAAGCACCTATTTTAATGAAAAATTCTTTAGACACCAAAAGTTAATTTGAGATATAATTTAGACACTTAAAAGTGTATTAAATTAATAATTAAGATCCTTTAAACATGTACTATTTTATATTCAATACATACTAATAAAAAATGTTTATATTCTTTAAGTACAATTATAGAATTATAATTACAGAATCAAATTTTATAAATAATTTTTTATATTTTATTTTGAAAGTTTAATCAGATTTAATTTTAAATATAATCAAAATTTAATTTAATAATAAAATATCAAAGAATCTTGAACATAGAAAAGTTGAAAACAAATTTGGTAGATGTTTAGAAAGGGTCCAATTCATGTGGCAATTATTTGAGATTTGGTACATTTATGACCTAAATAATTTTTTATATTTTGTCAGAAAAGTTGGCCTAAATACCATACGTTATTTATCATGGAAGTGAATGTAAGGGACATGTTCCCAATTTTTTTGGTTTAATTTCAATTCAAGTCCTTGTAAGTTTATATATTAGGTAAATTCAGTATTGACTCCTTTCAATTTTAAAATTTAAATTCTTAATTTATAAAATTTAAAAATATGAAAATAGTTACAAAATTACAAGTTAAGTATTTTTAACAAATATAACAATAGAATTTTACCTCAATCCCACCTTGAAAATTTCCATGAGAAAGCTACCTATATTGTTACAAAACTCAATTTTCAAATGAAAATAAATAAGATTATTATTTCATGTTAGTAAAATTTATTTCACACAACCTTTTTTTTTAATAATCTATGATGATTAGAAGGTAAATATGTTTATAATCTTCCTTAACCATTGACAAAGCACATTTTACAAACACAACTATTCGAATCAAAAACCTCAAGGAAGAATAATACTCCTTTTAACCACAGTTAAAACCTTTGATTTTTATTTTTTGAATGAGCTAAAATGATTACAAAGTAATATATGTTCTAAATACTCTAAACCATTTGACGCTAAATGTCCAATCACCATTGCAGTCGCTGGCGTTCGAACACATAACCTCTAATAACAACATCAAAATAGATCAATTTCATTATTTTATCATCCGTAACAATAACTTTCCTTTTGGGTGTAAAAGGAAGAAAAAATGGAAACAAGATTTTGAGTGGGCTTTGCAAATGGCATATATGGGGAAGTTCTGCTGTGCGGCGGTTAAAAAATGACGTGATCGGTTAAAATTTTGACCGGTAATGTTATATCATTTAACCGGAAATATTATCAAGTACAATAACATATTAGGTAGCGCTTATATAATATAATAGGTAGCGCTTATATAATATAATAGGTAGCGCTTATATAATAAAATAGGCATTTAACCAGAAATATTATCAAGTATAAAAACATATTAGGTAGCTCTTATATAATGTAATAGGTAGCGCTTATATTGACATATTTTCGAAGTAAACCGATATATTTATACCGGTAACATTGCAAATTTCCCTATTACATTATTATTATCAGTTACGATGTTTTTTAGATCGATACAATTTTAAATGTATCGACACTTTATGGTTACACCATTTTTATATTCATTCTGGACCAAAAGTATCGACACAAATTTATCAAGTGTCGACACGTTATGCGTGCACCTCGTTTATGCATTCTTCCTGGACAATAAGTATCGACACAAATTACACAAGTGTCGATACATTATGTTGACATGTTTTCTAATTAACTGGTATATTTATACCGGTTACATTGTTAATTTACCTATTACATTATAATTATTGGTTTTGATGTTTTTTGGGTCGATACTTGTATAAAATGTATCGACACATATTTAGGTAATTATTGTACATACCTAAATATGTACTGTAAATTTAATGTTGTACCCACCTTTTAACTACCACTACCAATACCACATCCTATTGAAAGCAACACGACTGAAACATGTTTAATGAACATTTGCTTACATCTCCATCAACTCTGGGACCACTGAACTTGCACAACAAAATTTTTGTCATAGATCATACTGATGCAGACAATGTTAAGCCAACCGAGGAATGCCATGAAGTACATAATGTTGATGAATCTGACAGATTGGTTGGTCAACTCTTATGTTCACGTGATCAAGCTTGGTACTTTTACAAGGGATTCGTACGGGAATATGGGTTTAGTGCACGTAAGGGAATAACACGGCTTGACGTGGAAGGGAATGTGAAGACACAAGAATTTTGTTGTTCTAAAGAAGGGTTTCGAGAATCAAAAGTTAATACTGTTAATCGTCAACGTGCTCATACACCAGTCACAGTAACAGGATGTAAGGCTAGAGTCATAGTTACAGCAACAAATACAAACGATCAATGGGTTATAAGTAAGTCTTATCAGGAACATAATCATGCATTGTGAACACCTGCTATGACACCATTTATGCGTTCTAATAGAGCTGTAAGTAAGGCTGATATCGATGAGGCAACAATATTGAAAGAGGTCAGTGTTGGCACGTCACAAGTAATGAACTATTTAACGCAGCAGGTAGGGGGCTATCATAATGTTGGATTTATACATAAAGACCTCTACAATGCACTTCAAAGAGGTAAAGCAAAGGAAATCGTCGATGGGGATGTGAATGCGCTTATTGCCTACTTTGATTATAAGAAACATGATGATGCCGGGTTTTTATGACATACTCGGTAGATGAATCAGGGGCATTGTATAATCTTATTTGGTCGGATTCTACATCGAGATCGGATTACACATGCTTCGGTGATGTAATTGCGTTCGACACAACGTACAAAGATAATTTGTATGGTCGACCAATTATGCCTATTGTCGGTGTCAATCATCACCATAACACAATTGTGTTTGCCACTGCCATAATCGCTGACGAGACGTCTCAATCTTTTGAGTGGGTGCTACAGAATTTTTTAGAAGCCATGATGAATAAATCACCTATTTCAATTGTCACCGATGGGGATAGGGCAATGCAGAGGGTTATCAAATATGTTATCCCTTATGCTAAGCACATATTATGTTCTTAGCATCGTTCTAGCAATGTACAAGCTAACATTGGTGACCCAAAATTTACAACAGCATTCTCAAAATGCATGGCTTCCTGGTGGACAACCGAGGAATTTGATATTCAATGGCGTTCGGTTGTTTCAGAATTCAACGTTGAAAAGCATCCATGGGTGATTGAGAAGGGAAATACACGGCACTTATGGGCACAAGCATATCTAACAGGCCATTTCTTTGCCAATATTCGCTCAATACAAAGGTGCGAGTCTATGAATGCTTCACTAGCGATTGCACTGAAACACAATAAGACATATTTAGATGTTGTTCGCGCAATTGAAGATGGAATTAGTAGAATGCGTATGAACGAGTTGAAAACAGATTACTTAAGTTCCCGTACGAAGCCCTTCCAAATCACAAAACTGCTCGACCTTGAAAGCCATGCTGCTGTGATTTTTACCCGTGAATCTTTTCGTGCGTTCCAAGATGAACTTCTATGGGAGACATTGTACCAGATTGAGTCAGAGATTCAGTCCTTATCAGACG